TTTGTCATTAATTAAAACTTGTTATCAGAGTGAATAACAAATTTTACTACTAGCAATATTTACTTTTACTATCAAAAATGCAAGTAGCCACTTGCAAGTGAACTTATAACTAGTCATTTAATAACTCTATTACAAAAATGAACTATTTAACCCGATATACCATAGAAATTTATACTTACAAAACTTCTGATCATCTTGAGACGCCTGAGTACTGGCACCCTCTTCTGGGAGTCTGACAAAAATGAATGTCTTATCTTGAATTGAGATGGGGAATGTAGAATTCTCAGAGATATTTAGTTCTAAGTCAAATGTTGGTAAGCGCCGTTCAGAGATTCTCAAAGATAAAATACAAAGAGCATTATCATCTAAAAAGGTCTTTTTATATAAAAACAACATAAAGTTATTAACCTCTGTTAATAGACAACAAATTGGGAGAAAATTCCACTCAGATATGAATTATAGACAGAAAGTAAGATTTATAATATAATAGAAAGATCAAGAAGTCATGGTGCTACATTCAGCAATTAGTTGCCTCTTCCTAGTAAATTAAAAGAATTTTTAAAATTATCAGAGAAAGTACTATGCACTATTCTGAGGACTTGACCTATTTAGCTTCAGGCCATTCAAGAACGATAAAAAGTAGGCATAATCCTCATTTCATAGGTAAGAGATATGAGCCTTCAATTTTTGCCAAGCAAGAGGTAAAAGAGAAGAAAAGAGAGGGAGGACACATGTCCTTGCTGGAAATATCTCAGAGCTCATTTCTGGAGCAAATCAGCCTGAATTTCCTGTTCTGTCTCTAACCCGGGACAGGTAGCATGCTTCTCTCCACCAATGTATCCCCTGTGGACTACACAGATGCTCAAAGTCCATAATATTTGAGATGAAAACTAAGATGAAAGGATGACAGGACCACAGCCTGAATCAAATGGAGCTGAATGGGTTACTGAAAGGAATTCCTGAGTGTCTATAGAAGTGATTTCTAAGGAATCTTGATTCCTCTAAATTTAAGAGACTTTAGCCAGGTGTAGTGGTGCACACCTGTAATCCCTTCGGAAACTGAGGCAAAATGACCACTGTGCATTTGAGGTCAGCCTGGATGACAAAGTGAGTTCAAGGCCAGCCTAATCTACATAGTGAGACCCTCTCTCAAACACAGAGACAGACAGAGAGACAGAGAGATGGGGGGAGAGAATGATAAAGAGATAGAGAGAGAAAGAGGAAGGGAGGGAGGTGGGAAGAGAGGGAGGGAGGGAGAGAAAGAGAGACAGAGAGAGGATAGGGATGAGGGAAAGAGAGGGAGGGAGAGAGAAAGGAAGAGAGGAGACAGGGAAGGAGGGAAAGGGAGAGGGAGGGAGGGAATAG